TTCTTCGAGTTTGTCGGCATCGTCCGATGTACGGCAAAATACTTCAAGTCCTCCCTGTTAAACCAGTGTTATTCATTCTAATAGGACCGGAGGTTTTTTTAATAGGTTTTTCCCAGCAATTCTTGTCTGAGGTCCGCTGGAGATTTCTTCTCTTTAGGTTTGATGATGAGGCTAGGTTGCCTGAGAACCTCTGCAAAAGTAGGTGGTTGCGGAGTTGGAGTAGGAGTAACAGTCGATGTTACGACGTTGCCTATTGTACTGTAAACTCTATCAGTATTCATAGCAGTGTCCTGAGTGTTAACCTTTTCTGTGTTGATTGCAATATAAACTGCGTCCAAGGGATCTTTAGGAGTACTTTGTACTGCCAGTTCCTTAAAAGCTACTAACGTATTAATAAGACGTTCTCGTAAATCCCGTGGTAAAACGTGCTTGCCACTTCGTATGGATTTTGCAATGGTTACACTTTCGTCGAAAAGAGCGTTAATTTTATCTGCATACGAAAGATCACTTAAAGACACAAGAGATTAAATGTTCAATCTACTAGCGAAAGCAGATGTGTCTAACTCTGGTACTGATATTGTGCATGTAGCGTTCAAATTTTAAAAATTCAGACTTCAAGTGTATTATTAATAATCACAATACTATTAAAAACTATTAGAATTTAGAATAATTGGGAATGATGGGTAACATGAGTAACACAGTAATAAAACGAGAGAAGACGCATGATCTTATGATTATATCTTGAAAATAACAATGAAATGAAGTTCAAAAGCACAAAATCTAAAAATCTTCCAGCGGGCAGAAAAACTCTAGAAAATGGTGCATTCGAAAGCAGATGCGTTGGCAGGTGCAGGCAGAAAAGCTCTAGTAAATGATGCACTCAAAGGCAGGTGCAAGCGGAAATGATGCGAAACAATTTCTAAACCTTATTAGGTTCAACATCACGCAGTGCAAAAACGTTAATTATTTTATCAGTTTCGCTCAAAATCAAAAATACTAAATCACACTAGATGAAGTATCACTTAAATTATACTAAACAAAGTTACAATTCAAATGAACTTTCACAATGAATGTCACAATTCAATGCATAAATTGAAGAGCTTACCACCTTTCATGTAACGTCTATCGACAGGTGGCACACTTGTTGTGCAAACGTAATTGTGTCAAGTAATAACTCCTGTCAAGTAATTGTGGCAAAACCCTTTCCAAAAAATGCGATATTTTTTACCATCCATTTATTAATCACCAATAATATCCTCTCATAGATTCTCGGAAAACCGTTTTCAGGCACTATGTAGGTGCATACTTTGTGGGTTGTCATAGCTCCACACATGAATATTGTGATGACTGAAGATCCTTCCATGACAGAAATAGCTTTATCCGTGTAAAGAATGCAGGATGGAAACGCCGGGCTCTAATTGCCTTTCTCGACGCATCAGCGTACAAATTCCACTCGTCGACGATAATCCTGAGGTTGCAATGACCGGATCCTTTGCAAATGATTTGGAGGTAAACGCTCCTATGTAATGTGAATCCTACCTGGACTGAAATGTTGCAATATCACGAGTAATGGTTCGTGGATGTCTCATATTCACTCAGGTTACGGTGCAATTTTGCAAACATTCGGTAACTCAGTGCACGTCTGTTCAGGTGCAGTGAAATTTGTCATACACAATATGCATGACGGCCATTTCCGTTTTGTAAACTGTTCTATACTCTCCGTGCGCAATCAAAACGTAAAATGACTAATGCTGCTTTCCATTACAACTCTGGAGAACAGCGCCTTCAAACGTGCAAACCTATAGATGGTAAGAACCAGGCATGCAGCGAGAAAACTTCCGGAAACCTTAATCATCGGAAGGTCATGACTTAATTTATAATGACGGTCTTTAAATGTCAATTTGCGGTCACTATGTAGTCATATTTTCCATTCTACTACCTTTACAGGTGGCTGTCGACGGTTTTCCTGCGACAACTGCTATTATCCCTCTACTTCATTAGGACTGCATTTCCGACCGTGCATTGCTATAAGATTCCGAGTCGTCTAGATGTATCCTACCTCTCCTAGAAGTTTGCTTCTCTAGACTAGAAGAGAAACACGCTAATGTGACAATCAAAATCGTAAAAACAACCTTGCATTTAGCGTAATAATAATTTAGCGTAATTATATACGATTTTGATTTACTTCTCTAGTTTTCAGTCACCTTGTACATTTAACTTGCATTAGATTGTATCTGCTCCTAATATTTTCCTAATTAACATGAAAGTTACATACGTTAAACACGACGTAAATTTTCAGTACCGAAAAAATAACTTACGTCTGAATTTTGTTTATAGCACTTCTTAACTTAGGAATGTGTTTCCTCCATTCCATAGTAGAAATTCTCACATGCCTCGCTTATTAGATCTAACGAACAGTGTTTACCAAATATGGAAAAACTAGTGTTCACGTAAGAAAACTAATCTAAAATGCGTTCTCGAAGCTTATTAATTAAATTTGGGAAAGAGACTGCATAAAACCGAAGTATATTTCCAGCGCACTTAGGAAAAATTATTCAGATATTCTATTTCCATATAGTGAGCCGCCTAGCGATATAACTTCGGAAATGCGCGTGCTAAGTTTTCATTATAAACAAATGCTTTATTACTAAGTACACTGCAATAAGAATTTTAGTAGCACCTATTACCTTTTCAAGATGGAGGATTATCGTTTTGGAGATAATTAAACTTTACGATAATTTTGATCATTTTTTATTTTTGGTATGTGATATATTATCAAATAAATGATTATCATGAGCTTTAATTATTGGAAAAGTTTTAAGAATTGTCAAAATCCCTTTAAACACTGTGAATAACTGTTTCTAATCCTGCGAAAATCGTTTGAAATGAATTACAGTATTATACATTAAACGATTTTCATGTATTAAATTAATCCTTCAGATTTCTTTCCTTGGTTTAGCTTAGTAAATTTTTAGCTATTTAAAACAAACATCTAAATCCAGGTACATTAGATCTAACGAACAGTGTTTACCAAATATGGAAAAACTAGTGTTCACGTAAGGAAACTTCGAGGCCTGGCTGAAATTTTCGCAATGCCATTTAGTTCTATTTGGAATGTTATCCGAACAATTCAACCAAATCCCACTCTCTTATCGCTATTCCCATTTTCCTAGTAGGAATCAGTGCTTCAGAGTAAACCTTCAAAGCGTTGTGATATCTGTACGAACATTAAGGTTCTTTCTCCTCAATCCAAACACCTTCATGTTCAAAACTTATAGTTAAGGATGATAAATCTAATGATTCATTTTGGGGCTTTTCGCAGCTGAGTCCGCGTGTTTCCGATTTCCCATTTGTGGCTGGTGTTTTTATAGCACTTCTTAACTTAGGAATGTGTTTCCTCCATTCCGTAGTAGAAATTCTCACATGTCTCGCTTATTTTGATGCCAAGGAAAAGCATTTTAATATATTGGTAAAAAGTTAAAAATTAGTAAAGATGACAAAGAACCAAATCATCTATTGACATCATTTTAAATATAAATTTGATTTTTGAAAAAAAAAGAAAAGTTTTCTTTTTGAGTACTCTTTAATTACGTTTAGAATTTTTACGCATAATTTGTAACTAATAAGTACCCTTTAGGTACACTTTCAAAGATTACGTTTTTATTTATCCCTTCTATAAAAACAAAAGCAAACACAAAGAAATATTTGCATGTACAGTAAGAGGTAAATGACAATAAATTATGCGTAAACATAAAAGGATTCGTACTTACTGTGTACACTTGGCGTAACATGAGCACAGTGGCTAATATTTTCAAATGAAACCTCTTACCTGTGACTGAGACATATAAAATCATCTTGCTTTAATTAGGAAGGAGAATTACGTTTTCCTGTTATTCCTATTTCATATAAAATATTAACTTACCATTTTGACCAAATAAGGTTGTATCCTTCTAAAATACTACTAAAATTACATACACATTTAAAACGTATAGCTATATTATGAAAAGAAGATAATAACTACAAATATTATTCTTTAATTTTAAAGCAAATTGATTTATATCTTTTTCTTGAAATATATCATTCTTTCGTCAATTGTCCAAGTTTTATAATATAAAGGAAACATCACTGTTCGTTGGCTGTGAAACAAGCGGCAGTAACTTTCATACGGTACTGGATGGCGTCCATTAAAGCAATGCAGTTAAGTATATTGCAAGTTCACTTAACTAGATATTCGGTTTTAGGTGAAAATCGAACTTTCAGTACATTAAAAAGATCATCGGATCGCCTGATCTAATATGACGCGGTCAGACATGGACATTCTCTTATTAGTTGTTAATATTTAATACAGAAAAAAGAATATTCTGCAACTAATATTTGAAGGAAAATGATTTTATTAAATGAAATAATTTTTTAAAGTAAATTTTGATTTGTCTGAATACCTGCTGTACAATATAAAATTTTTAAATAATTTGAATTTAAGCACTATGCAGAATCATTAAGCTAAACTGTGCTACTCTAAGATTCTATAACTTCTTCCTAGATTATACAGTCTGTTTTAATTGATAAGGCGATTCAATTAAAATGCTTATTTATATGTTTCAGCGCATATATCATTTTTATTCAAATTTTGTTTAAAATTAAGCTTATATTTCGTATGTTTCAATTTAATATAAATATTTATATACATTAAATCAAATAGAAAATAATATAGCGATTTCTATCAAAATATCATTTACACTCATTATCGTTATAAAATTTATATTAAATATAAAACCTAAATCTCTTGTAAATTATCAAATTTTTAAGAAAAATGTTTAAATTACACGTTGGTTTATACTTACATTGCTTTATGATAATCAGATATAATATATACATCTATGGGGAGTTTATTTCATTTAACTGATTATATCAGGGAGAAGAAAATAAAAAATTAAGACAAGTAAGCTCAAATATGCAACACCTACAAAGCTCTAAAATATGAAATATAAAAAATCACTGACCCCACTGCACTCTTTCAGACATACGTTGACTGTTCCGACGAACAAGACGTAATTCGTGTCAGGAAACTTGAAAGCTCTAAATTTTGAGTATAAAGTCTTTCCACCGTCAGGAGTTTCAAAGTTACCAAATATATAGGGGTCTATTGAACATCTGAAAATGAAATATAAACTAGAATCAAAACTAAATTCATGTAGCAGTTAAGTTTTATTATTAGATATTATTCCTAAATTAAATGACTTGCATATGAGAAATGACTGATTTGGAAAAAAGATCTCATTTCGACAAGTACAGTACTCACCAAACCGGCAACCAAGTTATTATTGCACAAATTACAGTTTATGAAATAAAAATAAATAATACATGCAACCTGGAAAAGTTAAAGTCCTTCTTCCAGTGATGTTAGCAACTGAAAATGTTAAACTGAATTTTGTACTTACGTGTATTTTATGTATATTAAGATATGTAGGCTACAGACAGGAAATAAAAATGCATAATAAATACTGCAGCATTCGCTATACCTTATATACGTCAGTGATGGATTCCGGAGAATGTGCATAATGCACGGCAGTAAAATAAATATATATTATTAGATTATGAATAATACAGTTATAAATGATTTACCATACTGATACATCCAATGATGAAGAATGGCTTTATAAAAAAATGCTACAACACGATGCAGTTCATTAACCGTTATGTTTCAGTTTGGAACTAATATGGAATTTGAATTTTTAATAATAGATTCTTCTGTTGATAAAACATGAAATTTGCTTGGAAAGGATAATATGCACTAATATCAACAGCATGATTTACTATGACTAATTACAAACTTCATGAGCAAAGGGACAAATTCTTGCCAAATCCAAGAATGATTTTTTATTTCAAATCAAGAGACTATTTTTGCTGCGATATCAAACTATTTACTTGTTTGTATTGTGTAATTCTGCTCTCAGCGGCAGCAAAGAACACAAACAGATTGAACTACTTGAAAAATTCTAAAAGCAACTGTATAATAAATAAATTTCTTATTACATTGTGGAAATGAAATTGACGGAAATGAAAATGTGGAAATGAAAATGAAATTAAATATACGGGGAATTTAGAAACCATGCTGAACTTGTTTTATAAACTTCGTTCACCGTCTTTATTACTTTCCTGGTACAGAAATGCATTTTACGTGTATTGTTGCGTTTCTAAATCAGTTTTGTACTATAGTCTTACACACATTACCAAATTCTTTAATTATTTTTAAATGTTATACTCTGATGTGCTCAAAGAATCAATAATTTTATTTATACTTTAATCATATAGCCTCTGAAATGTTTTGAAATGTTTTAAATCGTGAATCTCTGAAATGTTTTAAATCGTATTTCACTAAGTAACGCATTAGCGTTAAATCTGCGATGAAAATATATGTACACAATTCGTAATTACATTTTAAATTTTGTCTAATTGTACTTAGATAACATAAAGAAAACATGAGCCATTTGCTCCCAGAAAGCTATCCAGAAAAATCAACTTTTCGTAAGCTAAAACTCGTTTTTTCTATCACTACTAGCCAACAGACTTGGAACATTATTAATCATGGGAAATTCCATCACGTCCTATATGTTGTGTAGCTGCCAGACATTTTTATGTCTGGCTTAATACTGCTTTGGAAGTGTACTGTGTAAAATTATAATTTTAAAGCATTTTGAAGTACACTGCTTTTTCTATCATTCTTGAATTTAGTTTCTTTCTTCCATACCATTTAATAACAAATAATTTGATATTTAATTAAAGCAAAGCAAGAAGGTTTAACTGTAATGTCCTTAAAACCTCAAATAGAAATGGTTTGAAGAAAGCATTTTCTTTTATCAAAGCTTTAAAAAAGAATACAAAATCCATGCATTACTTACCTACTCAAACTTCGTTGCGCTGGATCAGTCATAGACATGTGCCAATCTAATTTTACTGTTTTCCTATCTATAGTTTTAAAGACACGTATACAACTAAGGATGTCAAAACGATATAACGCAATATGTGGTGTCAAGCTTAACCTTGCATTATATGGCCACTCATTATGAAACGGAAGTTAAGGATTCATCAGGTTAAAAAATCGAATATTTATAAAGATAAGAAAACATATAGCTATATATTCCATAGTGATTTCAAAAACACTTTTAAACATTCCAGTCAAACTATGCAAATAAAAGCAACAAACAAACTAGAAAAAGCCAGAAATACAGTACATAACACAAAGTAAATACACAATGTCTTATGTGTCAACCAAAATCATATCATATATGTATGTTCTTTAAAATTAATTTAAAATCAAATTTCTGAAATTTTCAGGTTTCATTTAATCTTTATTTAATTTTTTTTTTAAATTGAACCTTTAGTATTTGAAAAATTTTACGAGTTTAAATAGAATCGAGATTTTGAATTCCAAGACTCAAAATCCTCTCATAATTCCAACGCCTTGTTAATTTAAAGTTAATGTATTAGGATATACTCTCTTGGGGCTAAATAAAATTCGTTATTTAATGACAATTTATTTTATTACATATTCTTTTGCTTCAGTATTGGAATACATGCACATGTATCCAATTATTCAGTTATATAACTATTACTTAATTTTTGAAAAACTAAAAACTCTAAAATAATGTAAAATTCGCAAATGTGAAAAAGTCCCTAAACGTTCCCCTAAATTTTTGCAGCAAATAATATCAAGAACTAGTATAACTACAAAAATAAATATAGAGATAAATATTTTTGGAAAAGGTTCTCTTTCAATATTTAATAAGAGAGACTTTTAATATTGCAATTTCTGTTTTTTATTCAATGCGTGACGTCTTTCGTCTAAATCAAAATTAAAAAATGCATTGCTTTCTGTCAGAAAAAAGCACCTCGCAAGCTTTGAAATCCTTTTTATAGTATATATCTGTATTTTGAACTCCCGCCCAGTTCAATGAAGATTACTGCGGAATTATTTCTAGTATGATAAAACTATACACTTTAACATTTTCGGTATGCAATTAGCAACCTGAATGTAACAAAATATATGTGTGCAAAAAACAAGTGTATTTTCAAAATCAGATTTCATACTGGAGCTCACTATTTATTCTTCGATGTGACCATTTCTCATTTCTTGCATGCAAAAAACGTTTTTGGAAATTATTAAGAAATTTTTCGGATTTATTCTCTGAGAAGCCAGAACTCACGCATGTTGTTCAGCATGAAATAGAACTAAAGAATAACGAACCGGTTAAAACGAAACCATACAAACACGATCGCGTGAAGTATGAGATAATTAAAGACCATGCTCATTCAGGACATGCTCAAAAATAAGATAATCAAGCCTATCAGTAGCGCGTACGCTAGTCTGGCAATAAAAGAATGATTTGCCTCCTACGAATTTCAAATCATGGGGATTTGCCATTGACTATAGAAAGCTAAATAGTTTATCTAAATATACCGATTACCCACTACCTATAATCGAAGAAATAAGAAATCCCGATTACCCACTACCTATAATCGAAGAAATAATAAGAAAGATTAAATCAACTAAATTTATGATCATACTCTTCACCTCAAGGTACTTTCAGATAGCTATGAAACCGAGGATGTACCAAAGACTGCCTTTATCTTGCTGATGTGGGTCGATTATACTGCGGGAAAAATTTGTTTACGCAGTTAATCAGATGGGTCTTAAAATAACAAGAATACAATTTAATAATTAAACATACGCTCGGAAAAGACAATGTTGTGGCCGATGCTTTACCGCGAATAAAATTAGACGAAGAGGGAAAAGAAACAAAATGCCCTTTGCTAACTTCGAAAATCTTGGACTCCCGTTACACTATTATTCCTGAATTACAAACTGAACAGAATTTAGACATATTTATGCATACTTGCATGACCCTGGAAATTTTGAACACCCGGATATAGTGGCCATTAGAAATAGACAAAAATATTATGAAATAATTGAAAAAAATCTTATTTTATACTGAAACAACAAATGAAAATAGTGATTTACGACTGGTTATCCCAGCCAGTTTGCGGGTTAGCATTTTGCGAGAATTACTTGATGCACCTACTTAATTCCATCTTGGCATTAGAAAAACAATGCAGAGAGTACGCGAGGAGGTCTTTTTTCCCCAACTTCAAAAGTTTGTTACGGAATATATCAGGTCTTGCCATAGGTGCCAATTAGTTAACAATATAAATTTTAGCCGGGCTATGTATCTAAATAACATAGGATACGGAAACGTTTTCAAATAAACTAATAGGAATAAATTTGTTAAGCTAATTCAAAGTAATAAAAATAGATACTTATTTGCTGTTATCGATCATTTTTCGAAGTGCGTAGAAATAACCCCCCTTAAAACAGCCTCTGCTCAAGCTGCATCATTTTTCTAAATAATTATATCTTAAAATATGATGAACCACTTACGGTAATATCAGATTACGATCCCCAGTTTATTAGTCAAATTTCTCGAAGATCTGTGCATGTGTAGGGCTTGGCATCCGCCACTTAAAGATGGTTGTTTATCGACCACAATCTAACACCATGGAATGCGTAAATAGCAATATTGTAAAAATACTAACTAATTATGTAAAAACTTACTACCGACGCTGGAAACATTGCTTCAACTAATTGGTTAAGAACGGCTAAACACAATACTACTGGAAGAACACCATCCGAAATATTTTGGGGAGGGGAAAAAATTACCCCTTTGGACAAATTGTTGTTTATGCAGAAAAGAGAGGCAGAATTTATAAATGAACTGACATTCAAAAAATTATTAACCCTCTCTCTGCGTACTTTTTTATCAAAATAGGTTCAAAAATTACGTATTTTTTATTACATATTTCAAATCTTCATGTATATATAATTTCATATATTTTCATATCATATCTCAAATCACATATTGAGTTTAACAATACAAAAATTTTTAGTATAAGAGTTTTTTTTCCCAATATAGAATTAGATCATAGAAAAATGTTGTCAGAATACTGAAATTGAAGAATAATGATATAAAAGGAAAATTTTGAAATTAATATTGCTTAAATTATGATTTATTTTATAAAATACAAAGGTAAACATATATACTAATGAAAATATTTGCATAAAATAATATTTTGCACATCAATTTTGCACTACTGTCGAACGTTTTCAATAGAAACTGAATTTTCAGATTTATCACTATCTTCAGAGGAATCCGAGAAATTATCAGTTTCGCTATAACTATCTTCAATATACTTGAAATCAAAGTCAGAACTACTATCAGTGTCGGAAATATCGTCAGGAATATAGGTTATATCACTCGCGAAACGCTTCCTGCCAGACATCTCTGAGCTCTGAAAAGCGCGAGCAAAATGCTATATTACGTATTCTTGTATGTTTGGCAGAAATGTGGACAACTAATGGCATCTATTATTCTACATCTAAATAAACAATGAAACGTCACAGAAAAGCCGAAAGCAAACCTTGAACGAGGAAAGAACGGGTTGCACAGTTAAATAAAGGGCAAAAATTCATCCCCGTGGAAATCGCGGGTTGCGCAAATTTTGCTACTTTTACGTTGCCCAACGAAATCGCGGGATACGCAGCGAGAGGGTTAATGGAGCAGTAAGAAATTCGAATATTGCAAGAGCGAAAGAAAAAGTATACTATGATAGAAAAAGAAAGGACTTCGACTTTAAAGCCAGGGATAAAATACTGAAATTTAAAATATTTATTGTCTAGCGTCCCACAACGAAATCCCAGATTCGAAGGGCCTTTTATAATACAAAGAATTTTTGGAACTGTATGTTACTTAAAAGGAGATAACGGGGTCACTATTACTGCTAAGGTGGATCAAGTTAAAGAATATTCTGACCACGCTAATATGCCCGTTTTCCAAGATATTTTGCGGAAATCACCTTCTGGCAGAAAGGAAGCATCAGCACCGAGCACAGGAGATGGACCTTCCACTTGAAGAATTGTAATTCCAGAAAAGAAAAGGAAAGAGCCCAGACTGTTGGATCCGGAACGTAAAAGACGTCGACATGAAGAGAAAAATTGTATCATCAAGGGATAACATGGACTAACACAAAAGATTAGCGAGTCGGCGAAAACGGATGGCCGACAGAGATCAGCAACGAGATTTAGCGAGCGACGGACCGACAAACAGCTCCAGCTAAGAAATCAGCGATCTAGATTCCAAGTGCCCAGGAACGACATCAGTAAGCGCATTTTCCACACGGAAAACGGACATGCGAGGAAGAACTTTGAAACAGCTCCACGTGTGGTTCAACACCAAGAGAAGGTAGCCTGAAAGAGAAGAGCCTTCAGGAAAAGAAAGCAGCCCATCGACGACGGGGGGAAACGGGGTTCCACAGCAGCGGGTGGGAATTAAACGAATCCACCAAGTCCTTTACTGGGAAGACTTTGCAAAGAAAAGACTGAGGGACTTCGCAAATCGATAGATAAGTCCAAACTATTCTATTTAGGTTTAAAAGCTAGCGCGAAGTTATTTGAAAACATTTATTTTAGTTGTTGCCTCGATAGAGGACAATTTTATTTTGATTAAGCAAGAAGCTTTTTATTTTATTTTTGCATTAAGCAAGAAACTTTCTGTTTTTGTATTAAGCAAGAAACTGTACGGAATTCTAGCAAGTTATTTTGGGGTAAATAAGAACGAGATGTTCTCTTTAGTCTCACAGAGTGAGTTAAAAAATGTTTGCATGATTTTAGTTCAGTGAAGCAACTTCATTACTCGTTAATCCAGAAATTTTGTTTTGGGTGTAATTAATTTGAAATTGTTTCCAGCTAAGACTAAGAAATTGTATATCTAATTTGTTTGTATATTGTATATCTTTCAGCTAAAGAAATTGTATATCTAAAATTTTTGTGAACTGTGTTAAAAAAAAGTGTTTTGCATGCTTGTAAACGCAAATAAATGTGTATGAATGAAAGACTTAAGCTGATAACAGAATGTACATTAAAAGTAAAAACTAGCTTGAGAATGAATGAAATTAATGTTAGGTTCTCCAGCCATCACTAACTTAATTTTCACTAGAAGTAGCACCTCAGAGCTGAAAATCAAACGTAGGATGTATTTCTGAGATCTGTCTGAGGTCTATTTATATTTTGCTAAATACTAAGCATTAAATTTTGATTCAAAAAGCATTTTCGTTTAAAATTAATTTAGAAGAAATTAAAGATTTTTTAAAAAATATCTTAAAAGAAATTTTTTCAGATGAAAATAAAGAAGCTACATTTTTATGACTCTACCGTCCCATGCAATGACGCTTATCCAGTCCCATGCAATGACACTTAATACGCTTATCCAGAACGAGCATAAATAGCATACATAATGGTTGAAAGTCTAAAGTATCTCAACAGAATGCTCGAGTTTTCATGCCTCTTTAATTCAAAGCAACTGTTGATTTTTTTTTGTTAGGTACATTGCTCCGCCATTAGACCACATGGAAAGATTGGGATGAACTGCGAAGGATATTTTTCGTTTCCATTTTGCACATGAGGAAAACCATGAAAATGCCCATACAGACAGCCCATTCGCCGGGACTCTAACCCTGGACCGACCTACAAGTGTTAAATAGCTTTTACCGCTCAGCCGCTGTTGGGCCAAGTTTATTCGCTAGTAGTTTGAAATCAAGTAGCAAACTCGACACTTTTCAAATATTTTCTTAATTCAGCCAAAAATTATGGTCAATAGTATGGTATAACTTAAAAACAGATGATCTTACTCACCCGTTCATGACGATTATTTCATCATGTTCTACAGTTCCATCGGTTACTTTCAGGTAGCTTGCTAGAAGACCATACGTGGCTAAATTAAAAATAAAATTCATTTACCTTGTTAGACACAGATATAACTTTTAAACAGTGTACATTTTTAATTGAAACTTTTCCAAGTAATTAAATTAAAAAGAGAATAAAAAAGAAAGAAAATAAATTTTTAAAACAAATTAGAATGTTTTTTTTACATACGCTCGAACGTTTCTTACAAACAATTCAAGACTGTTAGTATAAATAAAATATTATAATCAAAATGCAGTAAAATGAAACGCAGGTAAAATGCCTTAATACGCTTATGTTACATTAGTAAAGGCGAATAGAAAAAAACCTATTTAATATGCTAATAATATTCTAATAATTTGGAAGAATCATGTGGCTTGAAATCCCTGCCTTAAGAATATGTTATTTTGCAGTAAATTCGGAAAACAAAATAGGTAGAAATGTCCTTCCAGAAGTACTGATCCTAGACATACTTCCAATTACACTGGAATTTCATATAAAGATTGTTAATACAGTGAAAGAGAGAGCTATAACATCAGAAAATCTTACTTATAGTGCTCCAAAAGGACGGTTGGTAATACTTTTATGCGAAAGAGTCTTAATCTTCACGTGATAAAGCGGCGGGGGGTATTACAGAACGAATTCACACTTAATCAGTTTTCAGTGATAATTTCCGAATAGGTACTGGCAGTTTTATCAAATATTTGCTAGAAATTGAAATTCAAAACTTGTCAATTTTAAGGGTTATTGATTTCGTACAGAATAAAACAGCATTTGATATTTAAATTTACAGCTGGTTACATGAAGCTATTACCTATTCGTATACTTTTTAAAATTTTGCTTATAAAAGTAGGATGGTCTTGTATTTAACTCCAGAATACTGGGTAAAATAATCGAAATAATTCACTAATTGAAATCTTTGGTCTTTAAAGCCCGTATGAAATGTTAGATTTTATGTTTGCAAGCCGGATATGCTGAGATAAAAGCCGGATATGATAGGATGAATGCTGGACAGGAAGAGATAAAAGCTGAATATGAAGAGATGAGAGCTGAAATCAAAGCCGGACTGAAAGAGATGAAAGTCGGGCTGGAAGAGAAGAAAGCCCGACGAGAAGAAATAAATGTCGGGTAAGAAAAGGTGCGAGGGCAACTCCGAAAGTGGAGCTTGTAAAAGAAACTGGAGCTATAAAAGACCACGTGGAAATGAGAGAAATGTCATCTGAAGAATCAAAAGATGAAGAAAAGAAGAAAATAGCTAATGAACTATCTGAGAAACATCCAGAAATGAAGGATGAAATATCTAACGAGATTAATGACAGAGCTCGAAAAGATGAAGAAATAAAAGACAGGAAAGAAGCTTTTGATTCTCACGTGCTTGAAGTAGAGATAGAAGAAAGTGAAAATGCGACTGTCAAGTTCGTAGAAACTGATAGTGAAGTTATGAAAACGCAGTCAGCAAGTGTTGAACCATCTGAAAGTGAATGTGATGCAGAGATGAGAGAAGCTGATGTACAGCTTAAACAGTGTGCTCTAGTATTGCAAGAAAATCCACACGACAAGGACTTGATTCTTAACCTGGATACTTCGGCTAGTAAAGGATCGGATTCTTTTCGCGATTCTGGTGCAAACAGGCGGAGCTGGCTTTCAGGAAATAGAGGTAAATAAGCATGTGCCATCTGTTAAAGATACCGAGGTGAACTATACGCATGCTACGAATGATTTACAGAGTTGTGAACGAACTGTTTTAGATTTTCCTGTGGAAGAAAAGTCTGAAAGAACTGAATCTCCAGACTGTGATATGCAAAACAGAAATACATCTGCGAACTGCAGTGGAAAAGTATTTGACCCGGGTAAAAATTAATGTAAAGACTGAGACTGAATTTCATTATGAAATTAAATTTGTAAAATTTTAAATTGTTATCTTTAATTTGTGTATATAACTTGAACATAGTGTAAATATTTGTTTCTTTAGTTATGTTATCTGTATGTTTTAAAGCGATTGGATTGTATCGAATTTGGCTCATTTCGTTGTCATTAAATAATTGAGCCATTTTTATGGCACATTTTTAAATGAATTCTCCATCCAAAAATGGCTTCTTTGCCTTTGCTATTTTTAAACAAACTTCAAACTATGCAGCTACAGATGCTTCTTGAAATTTCGGTTCTTGATTAAAATAAATCGTTTGATGATCCAGCTGCTTTTCCATTTTTTCACTAGTGGTATTTTCATGTCTCGCGGGTACGAATGATACTTTTTATCATGCATGGAAAGATAATGGCGCATCAAGTTACATTCTTTACACACAGCTATGATTCATAAACATTCCAAACACTGTGGTTTACCATTCTTGTTCAGAATAAATAAATAATTTATCTTCCAGCGATCTTGAAATTCTCGATTTTCGAGGTCTATTTTTCTTTTATTAGTAGCATTCATATTCAATAATTATTTTAATTAATAAATAAATATTTAATTTCATATTATTTATTAATTTTTTCGAATTAGCGAAGGAGCGAAAGATTCGATTATCTACTACTTTACTTTTCCAAGATTCAATCTTCGGATTTATTGCTAGTGGATTTGTTGAAACTGAAAATTCACATCAATATTGTGGGATAATCTTCCAGTCGGAAAGTCTAGAAGAATGTGTACATAAATTTTGGCAAATCGAAGAAATAGCCAACGAACCCCTTAAAAGCGAAGAAGAGGAGTTTTGCGAATTGCATTATCAGAGACACATAGGAGAAGTGAGAGTGGGCGTTTCATCGTAGAGATGCCTATTCGAGAAGAAGCACTTCATCATTTAAGTGATTCAAGAAACATTGCTAATAAACGTCTTAATCAGACCATTAAAAGATTAAGTAAAAACCCAAACCTAAAAAGGCTTTATACCGATTTTATCGATGATTAGGAAAGATTAAATCACATGGGAAGGGTTGAAGAAGAAAATCCTCCAGCCCTTACTTTCTACATTCCTCACCATGAAATTAACAAACCTGAAAATTCATCTACGAAATTGCGCATTGTGTTTAATGCATCAGCTGCTAGTATTACAGGATTGAGTCTGAACGACATTTTACTCTCAGGAGAGGTTAAAGAAAATATTTGTGATTTGATTGTTCGATTTCGTAAACAAAATATAGCACTGGTCCCAGAGATTAAACAAATGTTTAGACAGATTTTAATCGATTCATCGCAAAGGAATCTTCTACGTATCTTATGGAAAGAGCATGAAGACGACTCATCTATTATTTTTAGATTGAATACTGTAACTTATGTGACTAAATGTGCTCCATTTCTAGATATAAGAACTCTAAAACAGTTAGCTTTGGATGAACAGCAGAAATACCCTTTAGCTTCTGAAGTGATTCTTTCTGACGTCTATATGTACGACATAGTTACAGAAGCCTCTGATTTTGAGTCTGCTATTTAACTAAAGATTAAACTAATAAAGATATTCGAAAGCTGTGGAATGACTTTACACAAATGGTACTCTAACTCTAAGAGTGTATTACACACTTTTGTATCTAAGGAAGAGTTTCACTTTGATTCCAGTGAATTTACGAAAACTCTTGGCATAATTTGGCAACCGGAATCCGACATCTTTACTTTTAAAGTCGCTTTCCAAGGCAAGTCATCTTTTACGAAAAGAGATGTCCTTTCAGTCATTGCACGAATCCTATTGGCTTTATCGGGCCAGTCATCTGTAAAGCAAAAATATTCCTTCGGAAACTATGATCTTTAAAACTGAACTGGGACGATGAATTACCTGAACCATTTGCCAGTGAATGGAATCGTTTCATTTTAAAGTTAAAGGAATTGGAAAATCTTAAGATAGGAAGATATGCTCTGCATTCTACAACCGATAAAGTGGCAATCGTAGGTTTCTCCGATGCTCCAGCATTTGCGTATGAAGCAGTGGTCTACCTAAATGCCATTCAAGGTAACCCTTGTTTAAAGTTACCGGCAAGCAGATCTCGAGTAGCCCTTAAGGACTCTATCTTTACCACGCTTAGAACTCTCGGCTTGTCTTCTACTTGCTAAGCTTGTTAAAAAAGTTCTGACTTCGCTAAATATAGACATTGAAAAGGTAACATTATATTCGGACTCGACAATAGCATTAGCGTGGATAAACGCTTCGCCACATCAACTCAAAACCTTTGTTGGGAATCGTGTTGCGAAAATTCAGTCCTTATCAGAAAACTTTGAGTGGAAACATATCCGTTCTAAGGAGAATCCTGATGATTTGGTTTCTCGTGGAGTCGAACCTAGCGAACTTTTATCTTCAGAATTATGGTTCAATGGATCTTCTAATCTTGGCATGAATGTTATAGAAAAGGCTAGTTTGGATGTTAAGGATTATGAACTTTACGAATGCGAATTGAAAAAATTTCCCAATTTTTCTCTTAGTGTTACTTCTAGTGCTTATTTTATTAACTATTTTTTCTTTAAGTAATAGTTTTGTTAAACTAATTCGTATTCTTAGTTTTATTTATAGGTTTATTTCCAACTGTTATGTCGTGGAGCAAAAACAATTTTACTTTACACCTGACTGCCACTGGCTCCGACATAGCAATGTGAATACTCTACATCTAAAATTTTAAAACACCATTCCATAATTTTAAATGTTTATTTAATAGAATTCTATTCATATATTTGCAAGTTATACATTATAAACACAATAAAATTAATTTGAACTTATCTGCACCAGCGTGAATAAGCCTGGCATAATATTCTGAACTCAACGCAATTTTAGGGGGGGAAATACCGCAAATTCAAACACAAGGTTTCATCCTTTCCAACGCAGCTAATTTTCTAAATATATTTTAATAATATCTGCAGCGGGACAGCGGATTCATTTCATTCATCCAAAACTCAAATGTTTTAACGCAATAGTATCGCAAAGGAAACATCGACTCAAAATCAAAATATTAAAATCTATAGAATATCATCCGCTGTTGCCATTCCAGCACTGCCAAGTTTTTCTTCCTGCAGCTGTTGCCAGACTTATCCTCGCTGTATGATGAGAG